GATGGATCAGAGGTCGTCATCCCAGAGGTCAGAAAGGTCGTCATTTTAGAGAGGTCGTCATCTCACAACGGTTAGAAAGGTCGCCATCCCAGAGGTCAGAGAGGTCGCCAGCCCAGAGATATCAGAGAGATGGCCATCCAGGGGTCAGAAAGGTTCCTCCCATGAGGGTTCAAATCCCATCCCACAGGGTTCAAAGAAGTCATCATCCAAGAGAGGTCGGAGAGGTCGTCAGGGTCAGCACGCTCAGCCCGGACCGGCGAGCTACCACCGCCGTGGCCTGGACCAGCACTCACCTGGTCGTCGGTGGCGTCGACCAGGCTGCGCGGCGAGGCGGTGGCCGGCCCCGCCAGGTGGCGCAGCTCGTTCTGGCGGTGGGCTCTGCGGGTGAGGAAGCCAGTCAGGCGCTCACCCCGCTGCGGCCGCAGGCGGCCACTCAGCGCGGGCGCCATCCACCCTACGCGGCGACCGACGCTAGGGGGAGCCCGCTCAGCATGCCTCTGAGAGCTATTAAATGGGTCTATCAGCCTCAGAGCTTGAAACAGCTTGACATTATTCATTAATGCCTAAATGTATAGCTGTATTCCTCGCATTAGCCTTGCAGCTGTTTTAACTCTTTGACTGAAAATTACTTAATTCCTGTAGCATGTGACAGAAGAGCACAAAGAGCACAACACAGATGGTTTTCTGAAACAATGCTACAAAGAGAAGAATCACAACTACATACAGAAGACATGATTGGTACACTTTTCAACATGAGCACAATCTGCAATGCTGGTGAGTCGCGAGAGAGCAAACAAACACACATTGGGAAAATACTGCAACCTTTAATGTATGGAAATGTGAAACATATATATATATATATATATATATATATATATATATATATATATATATATATATATATATATCTGACCTGTCCCTGGTTACATGAGATGTAAGCTTCGCAACAGCATTAGGACCACCACACTCTCCTTCTAGAAGATCGCGCATAGCCATCTTCAATGACTTGCTCCTGGTAGCTATGACAATGTATTTTTGCTGAAATATCATCAGATTATTAAGAAACTAGCCACCAACTAGACATATGAATGCAAAGAATGGTAGACACAAGTGCATTCACATTCATGAACTGAAAGTCCTACAACAACTCCTACAACAAAGTGTGCATCATGTCAAAGCCTACACTTTTAGCAGAAGCCTGTGTCCAGGAACACCAGCCCACTCCTTGCTTCCCTTCCCTTCCTTGCACTTCTTGGTATTGCAGTAGTAGCACCAACTACCTGATTAGTTGGTATATTCAAACACAGATAAAAAACAGTTTTACAGAAAGATGACAACAAAAAATTAGCATCACAGATGTACTTTCCAGACTATCATTCTTTGCTGTTACCATGTACACAATGTTCAGGTTAGTTATCTCTCTGGCTGTTGTCAGGTGTTATGTAATCTAAGAAGGGCTGGATGATGCTTGGCCATCAGCCATGTATGTATCACAACCTAAATTGTCTCCTTGGAGCTTCTGGTATTTGAACCAAGGTTAACACAAGGAGCACACAATGAACTGCACATACAACATTCCATGTAGCTGTGGCAGCTCCTACAAAGGGAAGGCAAGTTGCCCTTTGTCAGGCCGACTGGAAGAGCTAAAAAAGGCAGCCATCTGAGGCAAGATTGTGAAATCTGGTGTAGCAGAACATGCATGGCCAGACAGCAATCATTGACTCGCATGGGATGAAGCAACCACCATCAACAGAGAGCAACACTGGAATGTCAGCAGGGTCAGGGAGTCAGCACACATGGCATTGGCCAAAGCCCTATCAGCAGACCAAGTAAAGACATCAGCACAATATAGCACCCTATTCTGTAGAAAATCCCAAGCACCCAGGACATAAGTGACATCAAGTTCTAATGCCAAAATATCTCCTTCTCTGATCAGTTCAGTAGGTAGAGCACTAGGCTCACATTTAAGAAATATCCTGGTGTGAATATCAGGAATTGCAGGGAGATCACTCAGGTTGTGACATATACAAAGCTGATAGCCATGGATCATGCAGCCCTTCTCAGGAATCTGTGACACCTGATCATGGCCAGAGAGTTATTTAACCAAAACACTGCATACATGCTAACACATCACATGTGTATGCAAGTCTGAATAATTATTCCATCTGTGATGCAGATGAATTAAACCTACCTAGGCTAAAGACAACAGTGAGCATGCTATGCAATCCTCTTCAGATGACCTATATCCCCAAAAATAAATATTACAATCATGCAGCATACTAACACAGCACAAAGAAAACTTTAAGGCATGACTATGGTAGACTTTGTTCCATTAGATACTTAAAAGTTTTGATTATGATAGCTGTATAGTTGATAACAGCTTTGATCTAGTTATATTCTATTGCTATTCAACTGTCAAAGTCAATGCAGTGTTCTCATTCCCATTGTGAAGCTGGTAGCGGATCTGACAAGGTCAGGATTTTAGATTCAGGACCATGGTTAGTAGTAAAAAATCAAAATGTCTTGTGGGAACACTTACAAAGTATATACCAAAGTAAATCAATGACCCAAATGCCTTGTGATAAAACTTACAAAGTATATGCCAAAGTTTATCAATGTTTAGGAACATAACTACATGGCACATTGTAAATAGATTTAACTCCCAGCACATATAACATAAACATAAATTGACTGCAGATATAACACTAGCCAACTCTTGTAACACCACAGGGCACAAATAAAAATTCTGGGACTCTCCACCAATGAACACCCAATTATTCATGCAATATTTCTTACATAGGTACTCCTGGATGTAAGCATATAAAGTATCATTGGTTTGAGCCCAGGATCTAGAAGCATAGCACAGATGTTTGGCAGCAATAGGTGGGTGGTTACATCATTCACTGCTCCCTGGAAATGACATGCTATGAATGGCAGAGAACCATGAATTATCATGAAATCCTTATGAAATTGGCACCCACTCTGACTAATCAGGAATAAGTTGTGACAAGGTTAAGGCTCTATTGTCAGGCAACTATGTGACAAACATGTGTAACCAATTTACATATTCTGTTCACAAAAAAACATTGTCTTTATGACCAGGCTAATTAGCAGCTGGCCATCAGAAACACCAGCTGAAACAAGCATCCCAATGTTGTGGTATGGTACTGGAGCTGCCTGATTGTAATGCAGGGACAAAAATCTTCACAGGCTATGCTTACCAATGGCTTTGATTAGAAACTAATATCTGAATATAATATTGGGTCATACTTATTTGCCAAAAGACCGGGACCGCCCACCACAGTGATGCTCAGCCTCCAATATATGCTAACTTCCAGCAAGAGACTAAATGTCTTGTAACGAAACATCCATTCATTCAATGTTGAAATATGCGATTGCCAGCACACAATGAACAAATTTCAGTCGAATGTTTAATGCATTCCACGACACAATACTGGGTTAAAATATTGGTTTGGTATACACAGTGTTTTATTGCCTCCGTATATACTCATGTGACCACTAAGATTCACTGGGATTCGCCGCGAGCCATTCGTCAGAACTGTCTGATATGCGCCATCAACACAACAGCGTTGAAAGAATGCCGCCACTAATTTGTTTACGTACAGTGAGCTATAAGATATAAACGGAATTGACTGAAACCATGAAAAGTTCTGAGTAATCATTAGGCTTTCATACCATTACTTAATGACAAACTTGAGGTCTGAACGTGAAATTAGTTTAAATACAAAGGTCAAAGTTGTTTACTCTCCTAGCATCTCAGAGGATTACTGCGCATGCGCACAATGGGGTAGTCAGCTGTTTGCCCAGCGGGTTCCCAGTATCCAAGGTCATTTCAGTTATTGTTAACTAGGGGCTGGGAGCCGGTGCGGCTACCAGTGTACGGTTGGAGGCGGAGGGTTGAGTACCGGGGCCCATCGATCTGCTCGAGCAGCAAGTTAGCTTGTGCACTGTTGCAGGAGCAGATCAACCTTGCCGTGAAAATGAAAGCCTGTGTGATTTTTGCGCTCGCCGTTCACATGGCGAGCGCCGTCAGTTTTTTCTCTCTGGGCTCCAATTTTCACAGCCTTAACAGCCTGAGGTCTTTCGAAGAGTGGGAGTCGTTCAAGCAGGAGCATGGCAAGTCGTATGGATCCCCGGAGGAGGAGAACCTGCGCTTCTCCATCTTCCACTCCAACAAGAAGATGATCGACGAGCACAACGAGCGTCATCGGCGCGGCGAGCACAGCTTCTCGCTGAAGATTAACCAGTTCGCTGACCTGCTGGGGGAAGAGTTCGTGGCCACGATGAACGGGTACCAGCAGCACAAGAAGGTGCACGGCCAGGGCGCCACCCACCTGCGGCTGGCATCCGAGATCCAGCTGCCGGACAGCATGGACTGGCGCACCAAGGGCGCCGTCACACCCGTCAAGGACCAGGGTCAATGCGGCTCGTGTTGGGCCTTCTCGTCGACGGGGTCGCTGGAGGGTCAGCACTTCCGCAAGACCGGCCAGCTGGTGTCCCTGAGCGAGCAGAATCTGGTGGACTGCAGCACCTCGTTCGGCAACGACGGCTGCGACGGTGGCCTCATGGACGACGCATTCAAGTACGTCAAAGCCAACGGCGGGATCGACACGGAGGCGTCGTACCCGTACCAGGGGGAGGACGAGCCTTGCCGCTTCAACAAGGCGGATGTGGGCGCCACCGACGTCGGCTACATGGACGTGCCGGCCGGCGATGAGGACGCTCTGAAGGAGGCCGTGGCCGTGCACGGGCCCGTCTCCATCGCCATCGACGCCAGCCAGTCGTCCTTCCAGTTCTACCACAACGGCATCTACGACGATCCGAATTGCTCCAGCACGCAGCTGGACCACGGCGTGCTGGCCGTTGGCTACGGCACGGACGACCAGGGCCGCGACTTCTGGCTCGTGAAGAACAGCTGGTCGCCCAGTTGGGGAAACAAGGGATACATCAAGATCGCCCGCAACGAGAACAACGTCTGCGGTGTGGCGACCAGTGCCAGCCTGCCCCTTGTGTAATCACGACATCCAATCGGCCGAATTTCAGGCTCGCTTTATGTCGAATGTGAGAGTGATTTGGTAGTCACTTGAGGGGTGTTAGTTTATTTGTGAATCACTAGTTCATGACCAGCACCTCCGCTGGAGTGCAGTCCACATTTTCATTTCCGCTCGCATCGAAAATGTTGCACGTATATTAGGTGCGGTGTGAAAACATGAAGCCATGCACGCAACCAATCTGTGCTCTTCCGGTACATGGCTGGCTATACGAGGATAGGCTTTGTCTCGGGATTTTCGAATATGTTGTAGCGACTCTTGTGATGTTTACGTGCGACATTAATACACGTGCCAAACGATATTTCGGTGTCGTTTGTCAGGCCTCGAACCGGTTAAAGCTACATCCGTGGCATCCACAACAGACTTCGGGCCGGAGCCAATATCAACCGGGTTTTACGTAGCAAAATGCTGGATGCATAAATAGGCGTATTATGTGGGTTAAGTGAACAGTGCTGAAGTTTTGTACTCTTCTCTACTACCATATTGGCATGCAACCAAAGGAATACATGCCTTGAGCTTCACGCGTGGCTTACATTAACACGCGCTCGGGTGGGGTGGGGTGAGGGGTAAATTGACCCCCTGAAGGTTTTCCAGAATGGTTTCCGAATTACGCGGCGTAGCCGCGTCAAATTTTGCATAGCTATAAACAATTGAATAGCGGATTGTTTGGCATCAAACATTTAAATGTGCCTTGCAATGTCGCTGACCTCTGGCAGGTCAAAGTCAGGCCACGGTTTCAGCGAAGGCAATTTCTAGGGAATCCTTCAATCTGATCCAACAACGGAGTGTTAGACGGAGTCATACATCTCTAAGAGGCTTTCTTAGGCAACACAAGAGTTGAGTGAGCAAATTAAATTGACCTAAGGTCAGGTATGAAGGTCACACCAGGGTCAAAACCAACCTGTTTTGTTACTCTAGGGCTCGCTGTGTGGGATAGTTTCTGGTGCTCATTTCGAGTTTAATGATAATAGGAACCACATCATACATCTGCCATGTACTTCCTAGAGGTCAGAATAGGTCATTGGCCTAAAATGACCCAAGTCAACGTTTTGCTTTAGGAGCATACTGCCTAGCGTAATCTATGTCGCTTAGTCACATGCAAAACTCAAATCAATCCTGTATGATTTTGGTCACCTTGACCTTCAAAAGGTCAAACGAGGTCACTGACTTTGAATGAAAATGTGACCTTTTGCTTAGAAACAGTTATCTAGGTTCTGGGGGCACTTTGGAGACCAATCTGGAGCTTGGCTTTGTTTGACCTTTTTTGACCCGAAGGTCATAACCTGAGAACTTGAAACTTTGACCTAAGTGAGTTTACGTACAGGTCAACATACCCTGTAAATTTGGTGTCTCTAGCTTTTTTAGTTCCCGAGATCTCCGCGGGGGTCAAATTGATCCCCCCCCCCCCCCCCACTCGAACGACGGGTATCTAGCCGGCCCCCGGGCGCGTGTTAAGTCAATTCTGAGTCTTAAGACTACAATGTATGAAGATCTACTAATGTGCGAGGCATCACAGCACGTAGTGACGAGACATCTAATTGGTGCATAACGGCGTAACAACCGGTAACACCAAACGATACGCCATGTCTCCAACCCACGAGATATGGATCACCATAACAGATCTGGTCTGGCAGCCCAGTTGGTTTGATTGCCTGTTATCGGATTTCCCCACGCGATGTGGGGTTGTTTCGAATAGCTTTAGACACTCACCTTTTGTTCCTGACTATGACGGCCTGCGGGCGGTGGCAGCGGTCGCTCAAAGCCAGGTCACGTCAGAGGGCTTGGTGGACTGTGCCAGGCATTGTGATTTGTTCTCTTGCTGCTCACAAAACATTCGCATTAACCATTTCAAACAATAAATGAGGTAGTATAACACCTTGCATACGCATTCCATGATTAGAAATAAGGCCACTATCCTGCATGGTCATAATGTGGGAGATATTTTCTCCCAAATGTGCCATGATTTAAGGGCAGCTGGCATCCGCTACAGCGTCTCCTTGCAGGCCGCGGGTGTGCGGCGTAAGCGGACCGCCAAATTCCCATTGAGAGTTGGCCGTTGCCTTCACAGAGCCGTGGTGGACCCAGGTCCTCTTACCACGCACTGTTCGGACTCGGGAACAGCAAGGACTGGGTCTGAAATGAGACGTGAGAGATGAGCGATGCGATTTTTTAACGGATGCCGGCAGCTTCACCGGCCCATATACTCATGGGGACTATCAATTAAATATCTACATGATACCTCACCCCTTTTCCAGCTTGTGTCGTCTCAGCACCAGCGACATTTCCTGGTTAGTGCTGAAGTTCTTATCTCTTTCAACGCAGTTAGTGCACACAAACACGCTTTGGTGCCGGCAGACCAGCGGCGTATGCCGGCGTATGCAGGGCCTCGGTACTGCCGCTGCTGCGCATGACTTCAAACCCCAAATCAACACTCTCTCGTCGAGTCACGCGACACATGTCGTGCCGTGAAGGGGCCGGGGGTGCGCTGGGGACGTCGGGAGACGGCCGGGAAGACCCGGCTCAGGCTCGGCAGATAAATGCTCGGATGTCGCGGGAGGCCTATCGCACGGTAAACGCATGACCCGGCTAGTTCCTCAGGCGACGGCCGCATCTGGATCAGCTCAAGACAGGGCTGACTGCCGCAGCTAACTGCGTAGTTTGATGGACTGACTGGCACGTTTACGCCACGTTGGAAACTTTGACATTGGTACGATACGGACGTCGAACACATTGTTTCAAAAGAAACTTGCTTGCAGAGCTTTGCTGATGAAGCAAATCGCGGACTGCAGATTTCTCAAATTTGCCCTCATAAGCTGTGCCAGGAAGACTGGAAATTGTTGGTTGCACATTTTATATATATATATATATATATATAAATTTTTATTATAATTTTTTATATTTTATTATAATTTTATTATATAATTTATTTATAATATAATTATATTATTCTATAATATATATAATTATATAATATATATAATTATATAATATAATAATATATAATTTATTTATAATTTTATTATAATTAATTTTATATTTATTATATTTTATTATATTTTATTAATTTTTTATTATAATTTTTTTTAAAATTATTATTATATATATATATATATATATATATATGCACTTACATATATTTACATAAATAACGGTGCCAGGGAATGGCCCCGACAAATCCAGCGGTGGTGCTACTCGCGCAGATGTATGCCGTGCAATGAAATACTGCTCGACTTTTGTACCAGCAAATGCAGAGAAGTCAACCGGATTACCGGGGTTGATTACACCACCATCATACCCGAATGCACTGACAAGAAAAAACTTATGATTTGAAAAGCCGTATCTACTGGAGACGGGGATCCCATTATTTCTTGTTAAATGAGCATTTAAGGTATTCTGTCGTTATATGACGGGAGACCTCTCGCACTCAGACAATCGACTGTGAAGATGCAATTCTTGCAAAATAATCCCATGGAATATGTGGATGGCATTAGCATCTACCCGGCACATGTATAATTGCTTGTATAAGTACCTTTGCGTACTGCATACCTTAATTGTTGTCATAGCCACGCTGAGTATACGGCATGATCTTTGGTTTCTTTAAAGGAAGCGTCTCTGTAATAAGATTGCCTTATCATGCACGCCTTTTTATTAATTTGGATTATACCTATGCATGTATATATATATATATATATATATATATATATATATATATAATTTTCCACCATCATCACTTCCCACAGCTGACGATGTTTGTTGTTCTCTGAACACCGACCAGTCCACCATATGGGTATCGATGCGCATTTAAGCAGTGCAAGTCAGGCAGCCCGTGAATTTTACCTCGGCAATCATGAAAAACGTAGTCCTGCCTGTACCTTGCTCAATTAAATGCTCCTTATCGCTCAGAGATGCATTTGAGAACTTTCTTTGATAGCCTTCAAAATCACCGATGTCTCACGCCCAAGCGCTTTGACGCTCACTTTGTGCTTATTATGCATTTAAATACCAACTAAACTTTGCGTGCACAACTGCACACATGACTTTTACAAAATTCAGTCACAACCACTTTCAGTACAAATTCAGCGCCATTTTTTGGCATGCGACGGAAAACGTCTGTGGGCTACCATATTGCGCTTGCAATGCTCTGGCGCGTTGGGAGCCCTGCGTTTACTTCACACCCATCTGTCATGAATGCAATACGGCGGGGCTGTGACGCCCTGGATCCATTATGAGCTGCTTTGCATGCATATGACGCGCTTCCAGCATGCATTCAAACGGTAGTCAAGTGCTGAACTGATGTGTTGGCGAGAGAGGATGCTTTCAACGGGCTTAATGCGTCACAGATAATGAAACCAGCCGTTGCACAGCCGCACAGATGCACATAGCGCTGCATTTTCATCACTTGCAGCACCGCGCCAGGAAACGGACAGATGTACGCAGCGCGCTCCTGACCTTTCGACGCGAGACGTGCTGCAAAAGCTAGACCGGATCCCGGCTCAAAGCCTCCAGCAGGCTGGAAAGTGACAGTAAATGAAATGCCTTTAACAGGGTGTCAGAACGCGATAAATGGGAGACAATAAGCATGTGATGTTAAAGGCCGGACAGTGAGACATGCTCATCAAGGCGTTTTCCGACTACGTATGCGTGAGTGATAAGGTTGAGGCCCGAGCTCAAGCTAATTCAAAGCGCTGGCTCTACCGATACCTTGCCTTCGAGTGCGCAACTGCTGTCAAAAGCGCTAAAGCATTAGTGGCATTGGTTATGCTTGCCATCGTGGCATTCTATTTAGATCCTTTCGTACCGCGATGCTGTATGCAGCAGCCGCCGTGCATCCCATCTATTAAACGCTATTTTTACGATAAGAAATACGTGCATTTATGTCCACATAGTGGCGACTTCCTTAAAGATGCCCTCCTGATAAAATGTGAAACCTCCATGTGGTCCACCAGTCGATCCATTTGCATGCGCCAACCGAATGTAAAACGAAACATGATATCTAACCAATATGGCGTATGTTTCTTGCCCTTCGCTCACTCTTTTGCTCAGGTGCAGGCGCATGGTAGGCTCGCAAAGTTGAGGAAGGGTTTTAAATAATGCCCGGTGTTTCCTTGCCCTGATCGTGCTGTCACTGCCGAGGAACAAGTTTCACCTCACTAGCTATTGCTATCGCCGCGTTGTGCTTGATGCGAAAATCAACGACGATCAACGAGATAATACGCGAGCGCCTTTTTGTCTCCGGCTAGTTCGGCAACTGTGCAGTCTTTGCCCTATCTGCACTGCCAGAGTACAGTGACTGGACACAGT